ATTGAAAAAAACATGTAACTCGATGACTAATGCAGAATTACAGTGAACGCCTTCACTATATGGATGTTGAATTCCTATAAACGTGTTCACTAAAACTATGATGCCGCATGTTTCCAACTTGCATTATGATTTGCTGGCCCTCAAGATCCACTTTCCTGCAGAGATTATCTCCAATCCTAATCAAACACCCTCCTGAACAAGCTAATCAAGGTCCTCAGGATTACTAGAAAGCTACAGGGCAGGTAAAGTTCAATCAGAGTTGGAGCTAAATGCTGCAATGTAAATCTCGAGGACCAGAGTTGCCCATCCCGATCTAAACTAATAAAATGAAGTTAATGCTTCTGTTATTGAATTAATTGCAGAATTTAGACCCTATGACACACAGGCTGCCCTCATTTTATTAATTATCTATCTTATTTAAACAGACACCATTTCCCCCTGATTAATTAAGCGAAAGATTGAATCAATTATGTTGTTAAGCAATTGATTAAAAACACCATCCATTGTCTTTGTTGAGAAGCAAATGTTTAAAATGTCTATAGACTAGAATATTACCTTCTTGGCCATAGATAATAATATCCTAATACTCATCCAACACACTTTTAGTAGCATGTAGCTGTGTGCAGCATGATTAGGGATGATCCAGTTATGAGCAAAACTACGAATAACCTGGAGTGCGACACAAATGAGGCTTTATTAACTACACAAGACATTTCAGCTACTCTAACGTACATGCACACAGTTAGTCATAGGAAGAGGGTTAAAGTTGAAGCATAGTAAAGAATAAAAGCGTGTTATAGTTAAAAGTTATAGCATTATTTAATATTCAGCAGATCTGGTGTCAGGTCTTAATTCAAACACACCTTTTTAAAAAGGAGTAGATGATAGTAATCAGATCAATTGACTAGACTAAGTTTGAAACTTAGATCACCTGATCTGTCCAGAGGGCTTGTATAGTTGCTGAGGTCTTTGTTGAGCATCTGTCCAGAGGGCTCGTCTTTTTGAGGTCTTCACTGGCCGTGAAGGGCTGTGTTGTGGTTGTTTCTGATGATAAGGTGAGACACACAGGCTACTATAAGCATAGATGCCATAGTACATGGGTTGTTATGGGAAGTGTTCCGGCTGCCATAATTAATGCAGCCTACCAATCCCTTATGTTATTTAAATTATAGAAATTTGATAGTGTGTATGTAAGGTTAAAGAGATGAGTTTAATCTACATTTAAACTGACATAGTGTGTCTGCCACCTGAACAATGCCAAAAAGACTGTTCCAGAGGCTGGGTGCTCAGTAGGAAAAGGATCAACCACCCACAGTCCATTATGATATATCAACTGGGCAGAATTTTGGGACTGCAACGAACGTGAAGGACTTTAATGCAATAGGAGCTTGCAAATGCTACAAATTCTAGAAATGTGGCTCTCAAACAGCAAATTGCTGATCAGATTTTTCACTACACAATTATTATGGTGGCCAATAGAATTCTTAATACCAATATATTGCCATGTCTATATATATAGTTCAGTTGATTTAAAGCTTCAAAAAGTTTTTTTTTTCTCCCATCAGTACAACATTTTATGAGAATAACAACATATTTTTACTCCTAGCTTGTGTTATAGCGTGTTTAAAATAACTTCGTTCTGTGAAATGATGTGACTTCTTATCACAGAATGAGGCAGAAATTATATTTTTTATAGTATTCTATACAGTGGTAAAGTCTACATCAATTAGCATTGCATTATAATATATTCATTATATACAGTACATTATCCTTATGAAAAATACCCGGGATAGCTTGAAGAACACAGACGCGAGTGAAATGGTTGAACTGTAGAGCCCTGTATGGCCTATGTATTCATTGCATTTACATTTATGACCAGCATGTGTCCACATTAATTTGTATACAGTATGTATTCTGGCCCATTAAAGGTTCACAAAAGCATGTAGCCTCCATTATCATTAAAGAGGTCATGGACTGCCTTTTTTATTATTTTACTGTTCTCTGAGGTCCACTTATAATGTTATCAAGATTTTTACACCAAAATCTTCATAATTTAGACGTAACAAGCTATTTTCTGTCCTGTTTTGAGCCCCCTCACCGGAACGCTCTGTTTGAACAGGCGTGGCGGATTGTAGTCTCGGAAGTAAATGCCCACTGGTATGATTGGCTAAAAGTTGTGAATGTTTGACAGCCTTCATCCTTCATAGATGGACGCTGCTGTGATTAAAGTTAAAAACGCATAAATACTCAGTACATATCAAATAACAAATATAAATATCTAATAACAGACAAAGCAATAGTGACCACGTAAAACAGATACTCACACGGGTGGTGTGACATCATTGTCGGATCCAGTATAGTATACACAGCATCGTCTTTTAGTTTCAATCTTTCTGAAAATCCTGCATTGAATTGAGCCTAGTTTTTAAACGAATCCGCTGTAAAAATGAAGAGAACAAAGGACCAAGTTCTTACTGACATAGTTGGAATTTAATTAAAAATAAAGTTCCACACTTTACTTGGGGTTCTAAACAGGCAGTGATGTAGAAGCAGGCATTGATCCTCTTCTGTGGAGGCGGTGTTTAGCCACACTATTGCGTCATAAAGTGGCACATTCCACAACCTGTCGTTATAGCAGATTGGCTTCTTCCTAGAGCTGGCCTCTTGGCCAAACTAAGCAATTTTTGGGGAAGGGCCTTGTTTAGAGTGGTGACCAAGAAGCTGATGGTCACTCTAGTGGAGCTCCATGATCATGTATGGAGATAGGAGAAACTTAAAAAGTAATAAGTAACTGTTTAAAGTAATTTAAAACTAATTTAAAACCGTTTAATATAAGGCGGCAACATAAAACGTGAAAAAATGGAGTATGAATACAGCATGCCTCGAGTACTTTATTGCTTATATAAAACGGTTACCATTCAATACAAATATTAAAAACCAAAAAAATGTATGTATTGATATGGTACTTTTTCAATTCAATTTTTCAGTTTGTTAAATGCTGTCCTTTCCACTAGAAAATAGTTCCTTACAGCAACAGTACATGCCAAGAGAATGGTCCTAGGTGTAACATGGCCCATCTTATGGAGCTCAAATAAAAACAGAAAATAGGAAATGTTCTCATCCACTGTGTTATTTATTTATTTATTGACACCATATATGATATTTTCCCACACACATACATCTGCTCATCTTTCAGCAATGTCTGTTTTCTTAAGAAAACATCTGTTCTCTGTCTTTTAGTTTAAAACAGGCCATTTTGCAACACAGCACAAGTTTGCAAGCATCATTACAGTGTGAATTGATGGGCATGCAGTACCATACCTGAAATGGAAAACTAATTAATACAGAAATATTCCCTCTACAATAATAATCCAGGTGTGTAATACAGGGAACATTTTTGACACTATATTAATTGTTTATTTTGCTATGGGTGTTGCACAGGGATACACAGAACCGTTGGGAGAAATGTACTTTATCATGAATAAAACTAACTGTATAGGGAACAAAATGTCCCTGATGTCTCTACCTTAAGTGATTCCAAAAACACATTAAAGCATAATCAGATCTGTATTATACGCTCATGTACTGAATTTTGTATGGTGCCACACACGCAGAAAGTCTAAAACTTCCCCCCAGTCTTGTGCCCTCAATCCATAGAGGCTTCTCATTTCCATATTATCTGCATATTTCTGAGAGAAGTGGCCTAATTAATCATGTGGCCATTTTGTGTCTCATTAGTGCTGTCTGCTTGGATCCCCTAGTCAAGACACGCTACTGCTCTGTCTCATTAGACAGTCCATCATTCTTTCTGACCTTCTATTCTGAACACAGAGAGCTTTCTCTAGACTCAATGCTTTTTATTTTTTTGAATCAGTTTTAATTTATAATAAAGGCCTGTCATGTCAAGTTTTCAAGAGCTTAAGTAAGATAGCTAAGGATGCTGTTGTGCTATGGGTGAATTGTGCAGTAAGTGGAAAAAGAGGAAATTCAGAATATAAAGTCAGTATAAGTTTATGTATTTTATGTATATCATTTAATGGTTTAAAATAAAAGTCAAGTCACCTTAATTTATATAGTGCTTTATACAATACAGATTGTTATTCGAAGTATGATAGGAAATTTCGGAAAGGCTAGCAATAGCAAGCTAGCTTTGAAAGCGTAAGATCCCACCCTCCCTGCAAATCACTCTCCAAAGCCACGTCTCCTACAAAACACATAATTTCTACACAAACAGGGGCGCGGAGGTATGCAGATACATATGTTGACAGGCAGGTAGGACAGCATATGGTAGCCCCTGGACCGAGGGATATGATTGGACCAACATTTTATGGCCCTACGCCTTCCACAGATGATATAAATACTAGGGATGCTGGATACTACCGATACTGGTATCGGTATCGGGCCCGATACTGAGCTCCTGTACTCGTACTCGTACTCGTTAAAATGCCCCGATACCACACAGCATGTGATTAGTGCCATATGCAGACAAAGAAACACCGACAACAGACAGCAGAATGGAGTTATTAGAGATGAATGATGTCTACGAAGTATATGTATGCAATGAATATAAAACATTCAGTATTAATGCCTGTATAGCTGATTTGCGCCAGCTGGTAAGCAAATCACGCTGAGTGGATTGAGCGCGCGGCGGTGCAGATGCGCGAGCTTGTCAAGTGAATATCCCTTTCTCACAGACATCAATGGAAAGTTTGTAGTTCGGTTGGATATGTC